AAAGGACATTGTCTTGTAGTTACAATATTATCTGCAAAAATTATAATTAATTTAAATAGATTCAAACAATTATATATGTAGCAGCAACTAACTTTTAATAAAATTTTATCATACTTCTTTCATTGTCTTCATAATTATCATATACATGATCATTATTTTTGCTTTCAAGTCTATTGTTATCATCCAAATCATCTGAATCATCTAAACCATCTGCATTATCAACTATAAACCTTGCATTTTCATTTCTTCTAATTCGTTTATAAAATTGCTAAAGTACCATCAAACTCATTTTTTTAAAAAAATCTGGTGATGCCTTTGCTGCTACTAGAGATTCTAAAGTAACTAAATGCTCAGATAATAAATAATTTATAAAATGTAGAGCAATCCAAGTTCGTCTTTCAGTTCTTGCATCTATACCAAGGATAGATTGAATATGTGCTGAAATCCATCCCTGTCTACTTTTTGAGGTTGATTTTTCACCTAATGGAATACTATTTGCTATTTTATACTTAATTGTTTTACTTTTATTTTCTCTTAGCGGATCTTGTATAACTAACTTTTGAAGTGCTGTATATGCTTTTGTTAGATTAAGAAAATGATTCAATTTTCCTAGAATGAGACTCTTTTCGATTTTATTTAAAAATGCCTCTTTTTTTTTCTATTGATTAATATCCATCATTATTGAATTTATGTCATCACCAAATTCAATACTATTATTATTTTCGCTTATTACCAATTGATTTGTTGTATGAGTTACTTCTACACCTGAAGAAAGTAATGCATCGGCAACTCTCTGCCATTTTGGATCTATTATAAAAGATTTAAAATGTTGAAAATAAAAAGAATAAATCAGTATTAATTATAAAACCTAATTTAATACTAATTCTAATATAAGTCGCTCTTATTATAGTAAATTTATAATATTTTAAATTAAAGAACTTCATCTTTAATTATAACAAAAATAGTTTGAAAAAGCCAAATTACCTTTTGCCTTTTTGAATTTTTTTACTTGTCTGGAATCTTCATTATTTACTCTTTTCTTAAATTGGACTATTGAACCTTTAAAGTTTATTATATTAGACTTTAAATAATTATAAAATTCACAGAAAAAAAAGCCCATACTTGAAGGTTTTTGAACTTCATTAAAATTTTCTAATTGTTTCAACTCTTTACCGAAAGTGTTAGTAGCTTTCTTTAACTATAAATCCACAGGATATTTATCAGCAAATACTCAATTTTGCAATACCGATAATAATAACAAACAATATCTTTTATCATCTTCGTTCTGACTCTCTAACTTTTCACCATATCCAAAAACAGAATGAAGTTTCGAATTTACACTTTCCCAAATTTTATCAGGGTCTTCAATGCTCATTTCACTGAACATTAAAGGTGTTGGTGGCTGCATTTGTAGCTTTTGACCAGCAGGTGTGTGTTGTTTAATTTCATATTTAATAGTAATGCTAGCATTTGAGTCTGTAGGAATATCAACAGATTCATTAAAAGATTGAAATTTTTTATTTCTTAAATTTTTTTGACTAAGATTTGTGAAGTTTCTTGTAATTTCTGCTTTCCATCAATAAATTTAATGTTTTCTAAATTTCCAGGACATATTTTTTGCAATTCTGCAAGAAGGATTAAAAACTCCTTAGTAATAGGATATTTATCAAGTTTCATTGTTAAAATCAGTTGATTGCTAATTTGAATACATAAATATAGTCGTTAAAATAAATACGCATGTTCTGCATGTTAAAACTTTAAAAATATGCATAACAGATCTTAATTAAACATGAATACATATGTCTGTATTTTATTATAAAATGTATATATTATTAAATGTAGGTACATATACCCGCATTTATTAAATGTAGATACATGTACCCACATTTATTATAAAATATAGATGCATATACCTGCATTTTATTATAAAAATAAGATACAAATATTTGCATCTTATTACAAAATCATAATAGTTTTATGTGCATATTTTTAACAAATATCTATAGTAGTTTATATTTATATATTAGAGATGTAGTAATGAAATGACGAAGTGTAAAAAAGGTCAGGTATTCTGGCAATAGGTGGGTATTGCAGTGCATCTTTCATTTTAGTAAAACAAATCAAATGTATATAAAAATTAATTAATTCTGATCAATATTGATATGCATAATGTGTTATAATATCTTTTAACTAAAAAAATCTAACACCTTTTATATAGATTTTAAAAGTTTTACATTACAGCGAATTTATAAAATTAAGCTAAAATTCGGTTACTAAATCTGAGTATTTGGCCACAATTTTAAATTTTAGTTACCAAATAACATATAAATAAATTAATGTTAAACCTCGAAAAAGTTTTTTGAACCTTTGATCTTAATTGATAATGTGTTTAACTTATCTTCCTCACATGCTAACCCATCTTCTCCACCTTATTAAACATATAAATTTATGTCGCAGCTGATGCTGAAAATGGCTGATGCTGAAATTCAGATCTATTATGATATGAATTTTTTAAAATTTTTTGGGGTGTTTTTTCCCCGCTTTTTTTTTATAGTGAGTTAGTGTTTAGGGTTAGACTTGATAATTAACAAGTATATGTGGATTTTAGCAGAGCTTATATTTTTAAATCGA